CTCACTCTGAACTCTCTATAGAGCCAACGATGAGTTTGAAGTCCTCCTGCTTCCCTCTCCAAATGCTGGGATTGCAGCATGCGCTGCCACGCCCTGTTTACAGCTCATGAGTGCTGGGTGAGCACTCCACCAGCTCAGCCACACCCACAGGAGTTTTGTTTGTGTTTTGTTACTGAGACAGCTTCTCACTAAGTAGCCCAGGCTGGCCTTGATCTCCATATCCTTCCTCCCTGCCTTAGCCTCCCTAGTGTGGGAATGGCAAGGGTCAACCACTACACTCAACTTCCTTTCCCTTCTTTTCGCTTTAAAAAAAAATCAATGCTGGGAGTGGAAGGGGGGCTCAGCTGGTAAAGGCGACTGCCTCCAAGTCTGACAGCCTGAGTTCAACCCCTGGGACCCACAGGTTTCAGTCCTGTGAGTTGTCCTCAGAGAGAACAGGCTATGACATGCACTTACCTCTAACCAACACCCGCGACCACTGTGCACATAAAATAAATAAAAATGTTGAAACTCAGTACTAATGATTAAACTCTGGGCCTTGCACCTTCCAAGCAAGCTCTCTACGGCTTGGAGCAAGGAGGAGGTATTCTGTGACCTTGCCTGACTCCATGCTTTAGATAAGATGGGTGCAGCTGAAATGAGCTTACCAACCACCCCTACTTCATTGCTGGCCAAGCCCAGATACTGCTCACGCCAACATGTGACCTGGAAACCGGTCCCTTAGCTGCTCACTGGGGGACTCTTGATAGGGGCTCTACCACAGAGCTGTGACTCCAAATCCTCACTGGGAGATTTACACAGGGATGCTCCTAGCTCTACATGCTCCCTTCTACCATGTAAACAAAAATCCCCCTTGAGCCTGAAGTGAGTAGCCCGGGGCTTCCATCTTCTTGCTTAGCTCGAGGTCCCATGGCTTCCTTGATGTTTCAGTTTACTTGCTAACTAGCCTAAGTGATAGCTGGGGTTGGCCAGCGGAGCAGTGGGGATTGGGGGAGATTATCTCAGTTTTATCCAGCTTCTTTAGTGTGGAGTCAGACTATCAGCGCTGGCCTCTCTTTCTTATTACATCCCTAAGTCTTGGGTTCTCTGTTCACTCTTGACTCTGGTCCTGAGCTGGGGTGCATAGCTCCGCCACAAGCAACAAGCAGGTTGTAGATGGAACCCGCGTCTTTGAGAGGTGGAGAATCCGTCACAAGCTGCTCTGTTTCCACATTAGTTACAGTAAATGTCATTAACCCACTGTCTTTGTGTGAATGCACATTCGTGTGTGGGAAGGTAGGTTGGTGTGTAAAGGGCAGAGGTCATTGTCAGGTGTCATTCCTCAGGAACTGTCCACTTGTTTGGGTCTCCCTGGCCTGGAAGGCACTGACTAGGTTAGGCTGGCTGGCCAGCGAAGTGCAGGGATTCACATGTTCTCTCTGTGAAAAATGTGAACAAAATGAGCTCTTTTCCACCAAAGGCAAAACTCCATTAAAAGATAGAATAAAAAAACCTGCTTGGCAAAAATTCAAATTTCCCCCAGGACAAGCACTTCTTGACATCAGAACACATGATCCAGGTTGCACCCTCTTCTCATGCATTGGGTTAGTTCTCATCTGTGCCAGTCTGAGCCAGTCAACCTTTTCATAGCGGCCACTCAGAACAAGGCACAGCACCCTTTCACTCTAGGAACAGGAGAGTGGGATGGGGTCAGGCTGTACAGTGAGTAAATAATAAATAAACATGTGTTGTGGGTGGGGGAAGAACCCAGTTGAGCCAGGCATGGTGGCACACACTGTTAATCCCAGCGGTCAGGAGGCAGAGACGGGTGACTCTCTGTGAGCTCGAGGCTAGCCTGGTCTACATAGCAAGTTCCAGGATAGCCAGGGTTACATAATAGAGAGGCCCTGTCTTTAAAACAAAACAAAACAAAACAAAACAAAACAAAACAACCAAAAAAACCCACCCCCGCTACCACCACCACCAAAAACAAAAACCAACCAACAAACAAACAACAACAAGAAAACCAGTGGGCCTTGCACTGTGCATGCTTGGCTTAGCATGACTATGCAACCTTCTGAAATAAATAAGTAAATAATAAATAAATAAATAAATAAATAAATGTGGAGGTCAGAAGTGGCTCAGACCTCAGACAAGTCTGCCGACTTGTTTAATTCCCAGAACACACACTGGCAGGCTCACACCAGCCTGTAGGTACAGTTCCAGGGGAACAGATGCTCTCTTTCTTTTGGCCTCTGTGGGCATGTACTCATGTGCATGTACCCACAGACAGATACACATAGATTAAAAAATAAATGTAGAGAAACCTGGAGGTGGGGTGAGATGGTGAAGGCTTTCTTCACCAAGCCTGATGACTTGGATTTGATCCCAGAACCCACACGGTTAAAAAAAAAATCAAGTGTCAAAAATTGTTCTTTAACATCTGCACACAAGATGCCCTCCCCCGAAAAAAAAAAAAGTTAAGAAAATAGAAGAGGGTGGGATCGGCAGGGGAGGAGGGAGGGGCTTATGGGGGGATACAAAATGAATAAAGTGTAATTAATAAAAAATTTAAAAAAAAGAAAATAGAAGAAACATAAAAGTGGGGCTGGAGTGATGGTTCGGAGGTTAAGATAACTGGCTACTCTCCCAGAACACCTGGGCTTTGTTCCCAGCACCCACAAGACACCCCAAAACTGTAATTCTAGTCCCAACAGGCGGTGTATATAGAAATGCCTGCAGGCGGAACACCCACACCCATAAAATAGTATCTATTTAAAAAGGAGAAGAGACAAACCCCTGTTTGGACTACAGATTCACTCACAGCATAGGACGTGTCTCAGCGGCAGCATGCCACACATCGACAGTCTGTAGCCTCAAGGCCAAGTGAGCCTGGTTCCGTGGCCTCTGCCCAGCATCGAGAGAGAACACCTGTGCCACTCAGCTTCAAGGACTCTGGCCAGCTTGACTGTGGTGAGCACGACCCCAGCAGGCCTTGCCCTTTTCCCCATTCCCTCCGCCTTGCTGAAAAACGGTTAGACTACATGCCTAAAGCTGGCCACCAAGGTCAATTCCTTTATTTGGCCACTTTCCTCCTCCTGAAGCTGACTATCAGGGTCTAGTCATCAAAGCATTGAAGTCCAGCAATCAAAAGCCCCCTTTGACTCAACTAATTAACATGCCCAATGAAAAGATACCACTGAATCTTAGCCCATTCTAGCACAAACCTTCCCCTTTTCCTCTTCTTAAATATTACACCTGTGCTACCTGTGCTGGGCGGTGGCGGCACACCTTAAATCATAGCACTCAGGAGGAAGAGGCAGGTGCATCTCTGAGTTCCAGGCCAGCCTGGTCTACAGAGTGAGTTCCCGGACAGCCAAAGCTACACAGAGAAATCCTGTCTTGAAAAACAAAAACGAAAGGATCTCTCTGTGAAAACAGGTGCCTGGGTGTGGTTTGTGCCTAATCCTGGGTGTGGGGGGTTCCATTAGGTGTGTGGAGAGATAGCTCATCAAAGCAGGAATGTTCTTCAACAGCTCATCCCCAGTGACCTAACTTCCTTTCACTGGGATCCGTCTCTGCAGCTCCCTAGATGACTACCAGCCTGGACCAACATGAACCTTCAGGAGGTAGTTAATATCCAAAGTATGACAGTATCAGACTGCACATCACTAGTGTGGCAAGAGATCAAAATTCAACATTTGAAGTGTGGTTTTGATTGAATGTACATTGTTTTTTCAGCACCGTCCAGATTAAAAAAAAAAAAAAATCCAAGCGGAACCCTATGCATCGGGGTAAGCCACATATTCTAGAAATCAGGGTGGAGCTGAAATTGGGGAACTGCTGTGCTTCCTGTAACATGACGATGGTCACTGTTGGCTAATGTATTAGCTAGATAAGATCTACAGTCGCCGGGGAGATAAGCCTCTGTGAATGCCTGTGAAGGAGTTCATGAGGTAGGGAGGTCCGCCCTGAATGTGGCTCGCCCCAGCCCAGAAGCTGGAGTCTCGGCTGCCTAAGGGGAGGGCGCCAGTGAGACACTGGTGTGCATCTCTGCTTCCTGACCAGATGCGCTGTGAGCCGCCGCCTCACACTCTTGCTGGCATGCTTCCCTGCCGTGACAGGCTGTGTCCTGGAACCGTGAGCCAGAATAAGCCCTTTCCCCCTTAGGTTGCCTTTGTCAGGTAGTCAGCCACAGCAAGAGAAAAGTAGCTAAGATTGTTACTCTCTGTAAAGTCACCAAGGGATCTTATGGGGGCAAATGCATCATCCTAGACCGCTGTGGCGGTCTGACGGATAACGGTCCCCATAGGTTTGTGGATTTGAGTGCTTGGTCTCCAGTTGGTGGAAATATTTGGGAAGGACTAGGAGGTGTGGCCTTGTTGGGAAAGGAGTGCCTCTGCGAGTGGGCTTTGGGGTTTCAATTGCCCATGCCCTTCCTAGCTAACTTTCTCCCTGCCTTGTGGTTGTCTCAAGATGTGGGCTCACAGCTACCGCTCCAGCCTCATGTCTACCTGCCTGCTGCTGTGCTCCTGCCCATGATGCTCTACCCCTTTGAACTCCATCCCCTTAAACTGTAAGCCCCTTAAAGACTCTTTCTTCTGCAAGTTACTTTGGTCATGGTGTCATTGTCTTATCCTATGATAGAAAAGCCACTAAGACACCCACTTGCCTACAACTGCATGGCACAGGAGGAGACAGACCAAGGGGGTTCTTCCCATGTTCTTTTATTTTGGGGTCAAAATCTGGTTTGTGACTGCAGAAAAGGCTCAGCTCTGGGTTTGTGGATGGTCCATAGTTAGTGATGGGTTTTTAACTCAACCCTAGTCATTCCAGGAAGTGTCCTTTGGGCCTGGCTATAGAAATGGGTCCAGTCCACCATTGTGGATGGAAACCTTGCTGCCAGGAGACATGGGGCAAGGCCCAGAGAGACTGGCATCTGTCTTCTGCGTCCTCAAAAAGGGACAGTGCTCCTTATTGCAGTGGGGTGTTGCTGGCTTAATGGTTCCTGGTGTAGCTCATTAGTTGCACTTTATGGTGTTCTCAATCCAATTATGGAACTTGCAAAGGTTGGTATAGACACCTGGCCTGTTGGGTTGGGCACAGGGGTAATCACCCCAAGACACAAGGCCCTGCAGCTGGCCATTGCAGATCACAGGTCCCCCGGAGTCACCCTGTTGAGAGAGAATGGGGGCACAGAGGGAGGCAGGCATGTGTTAAGTCAGAACTGGGAGGAACAAGACATCCAGTGCCATGTGTTAATGCAGAAGGGACGCAGACGAGAGTGAGAAGACAAGACAGGATTTAATGCACGTAAAACCCAGTGAAGTGCAGAGAGAGGACATTGTCAGTATTTCACTTCAGGTTCAGCTTGTCACACACTCACCAGCCAGACACTAGCCAACACGGCAACCTCCTCCCAGCTCTCCCTCCAGCTCTGCCTCATCTCCTGCTTCCTCCTCACGAGATTTATAGTCTGTCTCCCCTCTTCCCACAATCGATCTACCTATCTATCTATCTATCTATCTATCTATCTATCTATCTATCTATCATCCATCTCTGCTTCCCTCCCTTCCTACTTTCCCTTTTGTCTCCTCTCCCCTACCCATCTTGTTTCTTCTCTTCCCTGTTTTTGTTTTGTTTTGTTGTTTTGAGATAGGGTCCTGCTGTGTAACCCAGGCTGGGCTGGAACTTGTGATCCCCTTGAATAACTGGGAGCATAGCTTTATGTTACCAGGCCCAGATACTTTCTCACTGATTTTTCTTTAAATCTTCCCATTGAGCTGTGAGAGTCCATTCGTTACTTCTCTAAGCCTGTAGATTAAGGATCACAATGGCTGCCGCCTGTGTCAGCCTGCGGCTGCCTGTAAACGACTTGAAATGGAGCCGCTCCTTAATTAGCTGCTGCAGTGATCTTACTGGTAGCGCCAATCTTGCCGTTGTTTATTACTGTGGTTTTGTTGTGTGTGCACATCTGTGGGCATGCACATGTGGCGATCGGAAGATAACCTCAGGTATCAGTCCCCAGGCACTGTCGGTCTTGTTTCTCAGTCTTTCGCTGGCCTGGAGCTTACTGGTCCAGCTAGGCTGGCTGGCCAGCAAGCCTCAGGGATCCACCAGTCCCTGCCTCAGCTCACACACTGCTTCCTCCAACACTTCTGTGCCCAAGGAATATTGATTCCTTCTCATTCTTTGTGCTTGCCAAACTCCCCCCTCGCTGCCTTAGGACCTCTGCGAGGGACTTTTCTTCTGTTTCCTTAGTTTGTGTGAGTCTGGCTCCAGGGTGTGCTGTAGTCTCTGCTTATATGCATTATAGGGAAGCCCTCCTCATGATCACCATGAAGACTGGTCCTTGGGTTTTATTTTCTGCTGACTCCTTATAGCTTTCTGAAATAGCCCTATCTGTAAAGTTTTTGACCATGTTTTTTTTTTTTTTTTTCCATCACTGTATTTTTTTAAATGATTTATATTCATGGTGTTTACTCAGGGGTTTTCAGCTTTCCTGTGCTGTGACCCTTTAATACACAGGGCCTCATGCTGTGGTGACCTTCCCCCAACCGTAAAATTATTTTTGTTGCTAATTCATTACTGTAATTTCGCTATCGTCATAAATCATAATGTAAATATCTGATATTCAGGATGCCCTTAGGTGACCCCTGTGAAAGGGTTGTCCAACCCCCAAAGGGGTTGAGAACTACTGTGTTAAACCCTGTGTGTGTGTGTGTGTGTGTGTGTGTGTGTGTGTAAATTTGTGTGTGGGTATAAGCAAGTGAGTGCAGGTACCACAGGAAGCCAGAAGAAGGTGTCAGATCCTCTGGAGCTGGAGTTACAGATGTTGGTGCTAGGGACATAACCTGAGGCCCCTGGAAGAGCAGCCAGTGCTCTTAGCAGCTGAGCCATCTCTCCAGCCCCCACCAGAGGGTTTTGTGTCTCAGTTCTGCTTCTTCAGCACTTCTAACAGTGAAGCCTATCCAATCTGCTCTTTTAAAAAATACTTAAGACAACTTTTTTCTTTCCTAATGACATCTTATTAGCACTATTAGAAAACTGTCACCTAATGAAATCTGTTACAATGAGACATTGCAAGTTTGAAGAGGCCACCTAACTAGGCAAAACCATGGCAGCCATTATGCAGAGGGGCCCCTAAGATGTAGCACCTTTGTGCAATGTGCACCCTATTTGGCTGCAGGCAGCAGCCCTGGTGTCCCATGCCAGGCGTGAATTGTGATACGGTAGCTGCTGTACATCTAGCAAACTGAAATGGATTTTCAGGATAAAAGGCATTGTGGGTTAGGGAGGTGTAAACGGTATATTTATAATTGTTACATATTGACTAAATTCCATAGAATGTCACTTAAGAACACAGATCATATATGTTGAATTAAATAAAATATACTATTAATGTTAATTCCACATCATTAGTTACTTAATTACTGTTTTGTGGGGCAGAAGGTAGAACTCAAGCCTTATAGCATACCATTGAGCTATGCCCACAGGCCCTCACAGAGGGCTTCTAGGCAGAGGTTCTACCACTGAGCCATGCTCCCAGCCTCATTTTCACTTTTTATTTTGAGATAGGGTCTCAGGACGTTACCCAGGCCAACCTTGGACTTACTTTGTAACCTAGGCTGCCCTTTAGATTTTCATCCTTCCTAACTCAGCCTCCCATATATCTGAGATGACAAGCCATGCCCCGCTTCTTTTATTTTTTAAAAAGTGCCTATATGGACACTGAAAAAAAAATGCGGAGCCATTTGATCATCAAAGAACAGTGCCCTTGAACATGAGCTTTGTGAAAATAAGGGTCCTGGTGCTTAATAAAGTGCAGGTAATCTGTACGGCACTTGATGGCCTGCTGAGCCAACTCAGCGGTAAAGGTGCTTGCTGCCAAGGCTGATGGCCCAAGTCTGATCCCTGGAACTACATACTGGAAGAAGAGAACGGACTCCCAAGTGCTGTCTCTGACCTGCACACACGCAAACTATGACATGTGCGCACACACATGAAATAATTGTAAACAGCCCCCAGGGATTCTTCTGAATAAACGGAGCCACGTCCAGGCCTTACCTGGCAGGAGTCTCTGCCCGCTTCGTCACCAGCACAGAACATGGTCTTGTCTATCTGTCCTGGGTAAGATTTTTGACACCTCTCCTCACTCAGCACAGTGATATTCAGGCACTGGAGGACTTTGGGGAAGTTCTCTGTCAAACAAGAGAACCATGAGGGGCAGAGGATGAGAGCATAGCTGGGCAAGATAGTACAAACTTGCTACCCAACCCCCAGTCAGGCTGTAGCAGGAGGACACAGAGTTCTGGGATAACCTGGGCTATGTGGGAGAGCAGGGAATAGGAGGGACCCGTATACTCACTCTGGCTGCTGCTTGTTGTCCCCCAGCCTGACACCATGCACCTGGTCCCCTCCATGGGACATTCAGAAGCAATTTTGATAGGCTTCACTGAGTGAGAGTCACGGATTTTTCTGTTCATCTTGATGAGCATCAGATCATTGGAGTGGCCAGGGTGGGAGTAGCCAGGGTGGGGGATGGATTTGATTCCCTGAAACATCTGCTGCCCAGACTCATAGACAGGTGACATGGAATGGTGGCCCAGACGGATTCTGAACACTCTGAGGAACATGGCAACGGTCACTCCCAGCCCAGAACTTTGTCCCCCATGTCCACGGCAGTCTCAATCCCTGCTCTAACCCATCCTCAACCTCAGCTCCACTCATCTTCAACTCAACTTCATTCCATCCCCAACCTCCCTCCCACCCTTCCTCATCCACAACTCAACCCTGTCTCCAACTCCACCCATTTTAAACCCAGTCCCCTACCATCCTCAACCCTAACCCTGCACCTGAGTCGATCAGTCTCTATCCTGTGTGCACCTCCACCCCCCACCACAGCTCCCAGACTATCCATTCCATCTTGCGCACTAACTTGAAACCTAAGTCTGCGCTCTCCAGTCCCAACCTCATGTCTAACTGTGTCTTGCCTATAGTCAGTGTAACTGCACCCAGTGTAACCATCCCAGCAGGTGTGAAGCACAGGCTTATAAACTCAAATTTTAGGAGATGAAGGCAGGAGGATGAAGAGTTCGAGACCATCCTTGGCTGCATAGCTAGTTTGAGGCCACCCTGGCCTACAAGAGACCTTTTCTCAAAAACAGCAAAACAATGATATGACAACAAACCAACCCAAAAGTGCTTATCCACCCCTCACTCCATAAACTAACCCGACTACACCATCTGACATCCATTTCGCCCTCAGCTCCGTCAGCTCTTTCTCTCTGCCCATCGCACTTCCCACTATCTCCATTCTAGATCCAATCCTAAGTTTATCTTACCATGAACCATCAATGTGTGTGTGCCCAACCCCGACAGTACTCTTTTCCCAACCCCAAACCATGTGCATGGAACCCTCAAACCCCGCTCAACTGTGCTTATCTCCAAACCCAGCCAGGTTCAATCCATTCCTTGACTCTACTTCCAACCCAGCCTCCAGTCTAAGCCCTACATCCAGCCCCTTCCCAAACCCATCTTCATCTTCATAGGTCCTAACCCAGCCCCATTCCAAACCGCTCAACATGTCTTTGTGTCTATATGGTCTTTATCACACCCACGGTCTCTCTCCTTACGTCTCTTCCTTATCGAAGCTGCAATCTTTCCTTGTCTGTCACTTATAGCTTGTAATTTCACCTCTCCCTGCCGCCCATGCTCAGATCAGCCCTCTCGTCAGTGCTAATCTCGCCCTAATGCTGTTGTCTCCATCTGTCTTTCCATCTTTCCACCCATCCTTCCATCCTCCTTCTAATCCCCATCCATCCGCAAATCCTCCCATCCATCTGTCTGTGTTTCCATCCATTCATCCACCCACCCACCCATCCATTCTTTCTTCTACCCATTCATCTTTCCATCCATCCATGAAGTCCTTTAGTCTTCCTCCCCAGATCTGTCCTGTCCTGCTTTCTGTCCCCAGCTTTCCCCCACCCCCTTTTCTCCTGCCACACTCACGGCTTTCTGCAGTGTGCTGCCGTGAGCAGCCACTGTGGGCTGATCAGTACGGCCCCACAGTACAGCTTGTTGGGCCCGAGCAGCAGGGCACCCTGCCACGGCTCTGCGTCCCTTTTGCAATCTGACCCATTCACAATCCGAGAGCTGCTATCGGAACGGTTGTCCTCCCCTGACCCGGATTCCGTGCTGAGGTCTCTGTTCTTCCCAGAGGGTTGGGTGCCAGAGGGGTCGTCACAAGAGGAAACGTCGGCAGCAAGAACAGGCTCTGAGAACAGAGAGTGGATGGAGAATGGGCCTGGAGGTGGGGCTTGGGGAGGGGCTTAGATGCAGGGATGCTCTTACAAGCAGGAACTGGGACTAACCACTAACACTAACCCACTAACACTTGACTTGGCATCCAGGTTTCTAGATAAAGAGTCGGAACCAGGACGGTGGAGGGGGGGGCCAGGGGTTATAGGACTGGGCAAGGGTTGAAGGACTGTGTCCAAGAATGTAGTCAAGGCATCAGAGCTCTAGAGATGGAAACAGATCTGCAGGGGTGAGGCTAGGACTGAAGGGTCAGGGCTCTAGAAGTAGAACCAAGACTGTAGAGGTGGGGCCAGGGCTGTGAGGTGTGACCAGGTCTGTAGAGGTGGGGCCAGGACTCTAGATGAAAAATCAATACTGTAGAGGTGGGGCCAGGTCTGTGAGGTGTGACCAGATCTGGCTGAGGTCAAAGCACTATGGGCAGGGCCAAGGCTGCATGGAAGGAGCTTGCAGAACAAGCAGAAACTTCAACTCAACCAGCGAGTTGGCGGTTAGGACAGAGAACTCTGGCTCCCTGTGGGCTCCCTGGACCCTGTAAGGCCTTAAGGGCAGACCAGGCTTAAGGGCTGAGACCTAGTTTCCCGAAGTCAACTTTTCAGAAGCCAGGACTGGTGGCACTCTCTGTCACTGCACCTATTCAGGAGGCTGAGGCGCCGAGATGGCAAGGTTAAGCAAGACCTGACAGGCTGGGGATTTGGAATTAGTCTAGGGAGACCCGAGGCCGAGGCCAGCTGAGGTGACCAGTCCTACAAGGAAGCCCGACTTTGGAAGGGAAGGTGGAGCCAAGCTCTGGAGCCACTGACAACAAGTGGGTGAAGCCTAGCAAAAAGGTGTAGGCTCTGTGGGTGGAGGCTGGGGATTTGGTTGAGAACAGTGGATGGAAACAGAGCTCTCTGTTGGAACTTGGGGAGGGGGACAGGAAAAGGGGACTCTGGAGGAGCACAGCAAGGCTCACTCTATAAATTCCCACACAGACCTGCAAGTATTCTGTCCCTCCCCTCCCTCACTCCTCACAGTCCCTGGCCATGTTCCTACTGATGGTCCAGAGATGGGATGCCTCAGCGCTGTCTGCACCCACACGCACATTCCAAGAAGCCCATACATTGTGTTCAAATGTACCTGCTCCCAAGTGACAGGTGGCCCCTCGGGAGCCCACCCACCTGACCAGCATCTGAGTGGCAGGCAGATATGGGTGTATGGGAATAGCACAGGCACTTCTGAACACAGGCATGCTGACATGACACACTCCAAGGACGTTTGCATTCCGAATCCCAGCGCTTTTCACTCAGTTCCTCGAGGCAGGGTCAGGAACCCCAGATACAGACACATGCAGCTACATTCACAGCCCCCCAAACACACAATCCTCCAGTGTGAAGCTCCACCTGTCACACAGTCACAAACGCAGTCACAGATACAGACACACACTTGAAAGGGGGCTATGTGCATACACGCGGGTCACATGTTTTCAGAGAGGAGCAGAGCTGCATTGCACTGCAGACATGAGAGTGAGGTGCCCACCGGGCCAAACGCACAGTAGCAGTCACACCAGCTGTGTGGACGGAGTGTGTGCCCACGCAATCGCGGCACCAAACGTGGTCGGAAGTGCATGGACACCCAATCGTTCGCAAGGTCTCAGAGGGTCAGTCCCATCTACCTTGCAGTCACTTTACAGGGGAAGAAGCCACACTCCACCAGGCAGACTTGCCCCCATCTGCAATCCTAGAACTCAAGAAGGTGAGGCAGGAGAATCGCCTAGAATTCAAAGCCAGCCAGAGCTGCAGAGTGAGTTCCAGGACATCCTGGGCTATAGAACAGGCTCTAGGCTAGCCTAGGCTCAAACATGAGATTATGTCTCAAGAACGAAAAATAAGGGGTCGGCAGAGGTGGCTCAGCAATTAAGAGCACTGGCTGACATGACCTGGGCATGACTCCCAGCACCTACATGATGGCTCGAAACCATTTGCAACACCAGTTCCAGCTGAAGCCTTTTCTGGCTCCCTTGGGCACCAGGCACGCATAATGGAAAGTGTCTGTACAAATACATAAAATAAACAAAACACAAACAAACCAATAACAGCAAAAACACACGATGGCACACAATTCTGCAATTCTGCCCCTCAGGAGGCAGATAGAAGATGACTGGCCACAAGTTCAAGGGAAGCCTGGTCTAGACAGTGAGTTCTAGACCAGTCTGGGCTACACACTGAGACTCTGTCTCAAAACAAAACAAAAGCTCTTTCCTCCTCCGCAGTACATACACAGTCATGGGGCCCACATTTAGTTGTGTAACCACACAGACACAAACACACATTCACCTGGTCCTGGCAACACCTCAGTGGTCCACAGAAGCAGTCTCCCCCCCTCCACTTAGAGACTCTGGTTACCTGAGACCCCCAGAACCAGGCTTGCGATCAGGGTGGCCATTGTCCACTTCCAGGGGTGTCCTGCCCTCGCCATGACCACTGCACCTGATAAGAAATACAGGATGAGGCTATGTGGTTCTGGAGAGGCCCAGGTGGTTCTGGGAGTTTTGGTCCACTTCCATCTCCTTCCCTGCCTCTCCATTAGCACCCAGAGACCAGCTGCATTGTGGGAGAGGGGCTGCAAGCATCCTACAGTCCCTGTGAGCATGGACAGTGAGGAAACAGGGTGAATCCAAGATAAGACAGAGCCAGGCCAGGCCCCTCTCTTTCCTTACCTGCTGAGACCCCTCCCTGGGCCTCACCTGACACTGTCCCCTTGTTCCCTGGGCAGTGGGTGGTGGGGTCTGGCTCCCAGTATAGCTGCAGACTTCTCAAGCTGGCCTGAGCCTTCCAGCCACCACCTCCTCTGCTCTGGCAGCTGGTGATATAACCACCCACTGGTCCCTGGGGCACATTCCCGGGCAGTGAGGATCCTGCCGGTCTGGGCCCCGGCACTCACTCTTCCTGCCTCCCCTCCCCTCCACCCCCAGAGCACCCCCCACCCAGTGCCTACTGCCACTCCCTCCCTCCCTGGCCCAAGGATGGGGAGGGGTCCTCAGAGCAGGCCAGGCCCTCCTTTCGTTTGGCTTCTCACCAGCTCAGAGGACTCTTCCGGAGCATGGACTTCTAATTTTCCTTTTCCCTGTGTCACATTCACTTACTCGTTATGCCCTTTTGTGTCCTTTCTCACCCCTCCTTCCATCTCTGTTTTTCAAATTCTTCTACCTCATGGTCTAGCTGTCAGTCCTCATGGACCCTTTCAAGGGTCTGTCAACACTTGTCACCCAATGAATCTCTGTCAGCGAGTCTTTCCCCATCACTCTGTCTCTGTTTCTCTCTGCCTGCTTTTGTGTGTCTCTCCGACTCTGCCCCTGTGCACCGGTCTCCCTCTGTCTCCCTGTCACTGATTCTCTTGGTCTCTGTACTCTCTCTTTTTCTCCTTATCTCTCTCTTTTGTCTGTTTCTCTATGCTTCATCTCTTTTTTTGTCTGTGTGCATGTCAATGTCTTTCCCTGTCTTTTTCTCTTTGTCTCCATGTCTGTCTTTTCTATCTCTTGTATCTTCATCTCTCTCATGACTATCTCTCTGAATATTGGTTCCCTGGCTTTTTCTGTCTCCCTATACCCCTCCCTGTCATTTGGGCAGGGGAGACAAGGCCACCTGCAGATGAAATCCCATGACCTTACTCCACCCTTTACACTAGGTATGAGGCCAAGGGTCAGCAGGAGGCAGGGAAGCAGCCTGCCCCCACCAGGTGCCCTGATCCGGCCGGCACAGCCAGGCATGGCTGACAAGGTTGGGCAGGGCAACCTGTCGATGGAAAAAGAGGCCAAGAGCCAGGACCAGAGGTGGGTGGCGCCTAGCACTTTGGGAAATGGGGCACTAGATACGAAATAGAGCAACACCCCTCCCTTTCTGATCCTGACCGCCTGGCAGCCTCTCTTGCCCTCTTCTGTCTCCTGGCTTCTCTTTCTGTCCACGCCCCACTCCAATTCTCCCATTCTCTAGCCCCACAGGGAGGCAGGAGCCCTACATCTGTGAGCCAGACATGAATCTTCTCCACATGGAATGACAGTCATGAAGATGTGAAGATTCTGATGGACGTGTGAAAGTGTTGGGAGTTCTACTGCACAGGAGAAACACACACACACACACACACACACACACACACACACACACACCAAAACCTACACTGAGGCTTAATGCGATTCTGGGAATTTGTATTTCATGTATTAAAGCTACAAGATCAGCTACCTATGTCTCTCTTGGTACTTTTTCCTCACTTACATGGTCTTTCAAGGCCAGCTTGCAGTTGCTAAATGTTTTACTTTTTAAAATAGTATTTTATTTATTTATTTACTTGTCACTTTATCCTTTTACGTATTTAATTTGGCGCGTGTGTGCATGCGCGTATGCGCATACTCAAGTGGAGGTCAGAGGACAGCCTGTGGGAACTGGTTCTCTGTGTTCGTTAGGTGGGACTCAGAGAGCAACCAGAGGTCATCAGGCCCAGAAGCAAGAGCTTTTACCTGCCGGGTCGCCTCCTTGGCCCCTGCTTCTGTTCTTTCAGACAAGACCTCATTCTGTAGGCCAGGCTGGCTCACCTCTAATTCTTGGCAGTCCTCCTTCCTCAGCCTTCTAAGGGCTGGGATTCCAGGCACGAACCACCACGTTTAGACACAAACCACCATTTTTGTTTTGTTTTGAGTCAAGGTCTCATGTAACCCACATCCAGACCCTCCTGCCTGGACCTCCTGAGTGCTGCGGCTGTATGTACCCTACAACTTGTCTGATGTAGTGTTTTGGATCAAATCCAGGACTTCATGAATTCTAGGCAAGCACTACCAACTGAGCTATATGATGCTTCAATTGTTTTCATTACTAAGATCTTGTTTCTTTTTAAAGTTTTTTTTTTTTTTTAATGTGTATGAGTGTTTTGCCAGCTTATCTGTATATACAGCCTGTAGGTGGCCATGGAAGCCAGTAGAAGATGACCAACCCTGGAACTGGAGTTACAGGCAGTTGTGAGCCAACATTTGGGTGCTAGGATCCAAATTCGGGTCCTCTGGAAGAGTAGCCAGTGGTCTTAAATGATGAGCCATCTCTCTCAACCTTTAAAGAGGTCTTTTTTTAAAGTGATTAATTTATTTTTATTTTATGTCCATTGGTGTCTTGTCTGCCTGTATGTCTATGTGAGACTTGAAGTTCTCATCGCGCAGGCCTTTCACTTGCTTGGTTACAGTTATCCCACGGGTATTTCATATTATTTGTGGTTATTGTGAAGGGCGTCATTTCCCTGATTTCTTTTTCAGCCTGTTTATTGTGTATATATAGCTACTGTTTTTTGTTTTTTTTTTTTAAAGATAATCCTATATCCAGCTACTTCACTGAAGGTGTTCATCAGCTGTAGGTCTTCCCTGGTAGAATATTGGGGTCACTTATGCATGTTATGATATCATCTGTAAATAACGATAATTTGACCTCTGCCTTTCCAATTTGTATCCCTTTGATCTCCTTCAGTGATCTCATTGTTGTAGCTGGAACGTCAAGCACTGCATTGAATAGATGTGAAGAGGGTGGGCGGCCGTGTCTTGTTGCTAGTTCTAGTGAATTGCTTTGAGTTTCTCTCCATTTAATTTGATGTTGGCTATGAGCTTGTTGTGTATTGCTTTCATTGTGTTTAGGTATGGGCCTTCATCCCTGATCTCTTTTATCATGAAGGGGTGCTGGATTTTGTCAAAGCCTTTTTTTTTTTTTTTTTTTTTTTGTCATCTAATGAGATTATAATATGTGTTTTTACTTTCAGTTTATTTCTATGGTGGGTTTTGTGGGTCACTTATTATATTTTTGTATGTTGAACCATCCTTGCATCTCTGGGATGAAGCCTACTTGGACATGGTGGATGATATTTTTGATGTGTTCTTAGATTTGATTTGAAAGTATTTTATTGAATATTTTTTACATCTATGTTCATAAAGGAAATTGGTTTGTAATTCTCTTTCTTTGTTGGATGTGGTTTGGGTATCAAGGTGACTGTAGCTTCATAAAATGAATTTGACAATATTCCTTCTGTTTTTATTTTGTGGAATAATTTGAGGAGTATTGGCATTATCTCTTCTTGAAAGTCTGGTAGAATTCTGTGCTAAAACCATCTGGCCTTAGGTTTGTTTTTCTTTTCTTTTTGTTTGGGAGACTTTTAATTACTGTTTTTTTTTTAGGTCTATTTAAATTGTTTATTTGATCTTGATTTAACTCTGGTAAGTGGCATCTATTCAGAAAATTATCCACTTCTTTACGATTTATCAATTTTGTGGAGTACAGGTTTTTAAAGGATTCTTTGGCTTTCCATTGTATCTGTTGTTATGTCCCTCTTTTGTTTCTGATTTTGTTAATTTGGATTCTCTCTCCATTTTAAAAAATTTAGTTTAGATAAGGGTTTGTCTATCTTTTACTTTTTCAAAGAACCAACTCTTTGTTTCATTGATTTCCATTTTTCAGGTCTTAAACAGTTTTATTCATTTCTTTCAACTATTTGTTGTTTTTTTTTTCCTTGCTATTCTTTAAGGGAGTTATTAATTTCTTCCATTTTTTTGTTTGTATTTTCCTGGGATTTCTTTAGGAGATTTATTAATTTCCTCTTTAAGGATACCCATCATCTTCATAAAGTTTAAAAAATAACTTATTGCTTTAATTTTTATGTACATTGGTGTTTTACCTGCATCTATGTCTGTATGAGGGTGTTGGATCCCCAGAACAGGAGTTACAGACAGTTGTGAGCTGCATGTGGGTGGTGGGAATTGAATCCAGGTCCTTTGGAAGAGCAGCCTGTGCTTTTAACTGAGTGCCCCCTTTTCTTCTTTCTTTCTTTTTTATTTTTATTTATTTATTTTTTTTTTTTGAGAAAGGGTTTCTCTATGTAATAATCTTTTTCTTGCGTTTCAGCTGCTTCAGGGCAGTAATAAAAAAGCAGAGTTCTGGTGTTGACATACTGTCTTGCCTCTTATTGATTATGTTCTTAACACTGGCATCTTGGCATCTAGGTATGGGGTGATTACAGGTTTAGGTGCCATTTTTTGAGTTTGTTGAACAGGTGTTGTTTATTCCTTGCTTTCTGTTTCCTCTCTGGTGTTCTGGCTGGTGTGGCCCATTGAGTAGGTGTCTCCACCGAAGTTAGGGGCTGGGACACAGCAATGAGGAATGGAGAGGGATTGAGTAGGCTTGAGAGGGATAGGGTAGGGATGAAAAGAGAGTTGAGGAGGTTCGTGGGCGGGCAGCCTACCTGGCCTCTGGTCAAGCAGGTGGTCTCTCTCCAAGTTGGCAGCTAGGACATGGTAATGAAGAGAAGAGCTGGGACTGGGGATGGACAGTGAAGAGGGCATTGAGAGAGATGGGGAGGCTTATGAGGGGGTGGCCTGCCTGGAGTTCTGGCAGTCAGCATGGCCTCTGGTGGAGCAGGGGTCCTCCTGCTGAGGTGGGGGCTGGGACATGGCGATGAAGGGGGTTACTGAGAATAGTATTGGGGCTGGGAGTACTGAAAGAATGAGGAAGGTCTTCTGGCCAGCAGCTTACTTTGAGTTACGGTGGTCTCTGGGTGAGCTGGGGTCATTGTTTTTAATAACCAGTGCTGTGGGGCCATCGAGGGGAACACAGCCAATTCGCCAGGGGCCGTTCCCCTTCAGAACCGAACTCTTTCTCCCCCAGCAGCCACCAGCTACCCAGCAGCGTCTCTGCGCGAGCTAAGGCTTGTTAACCTCCCTCCAGTTCATGTCAGAAGGTTCACAGGCTCGATACAGGGCAACCACGGCAACCACAAATTCATGGGTGCAGCGATCATGCCACGCCCAGAGTTCACTGTTCAGTGGTACTCCTCCCCAGTTCCTGGCCCTTGAAATAGTTCCACTCCCCCTTTGGTAAATTCTTTGAGAATTGGGGGGATCGTTTGTGATATAGAAGTTGTTGCAGCTGACAGTTGCTGAGCAGGGGATGGAGTCTCCTTTTCTTCGGTGGTGTGTGTACTGTTCGATTGCTCTTGCTCAAGTATATAGACAGGGAAGACAATTTAACATGGTAGGTTACACACAAAAGAAGACATCGTGGAAGAGGGTTTCATCCAGAGAAGAAGGAGAGTGGGAGAGAGCAGAGGAAGGATTAAAAAAAAAGACTAAAATTCAATACATGAGTGTATCATTAAAAAATGAGTACAAAGGTTTGCAGATGAAGTAATTTGTCCAGATTTTCCTTTAAATATCCCCTCTGCAACATCATCTTCTTCTGTGCAGTGCTGCGGTTCATCTCAGTGCGTAACCTGGGACCCAGTGTGCGGAATTTTGCTAACCTTCTGTAAATGTTGCTTAAAACAAGATATATTATTAATAAGAATTTTTTGCGTTTCCTTTGATTAAAGAGGATTGTATCCACTTCATACATAGCTAATATTTTAAAACGATGTTTACAAACACATACACATTTATATATGTCCATATATCCATATGTGTAAATACAAAGAGTAGATATTTACCGTCAAAGAGGATTTGACCCTGACATGATAAAAAAAGTTCTGTTTAGGGATGAGCACGCTGCCACTGAGAATTCTCTGCACTTTGGCCAGTTTGTGCCTCCTAGAGGTCTCGTCAGGGTCACTTTTATGAGATCATTACAATATTATTTTGTCTCGTTTACAAACTAAGTTGACCAGACACATGCAAACCTTTTAAACCACACTCCTGAAGAGAACACATCCTCCGTGGAGGCCATTTAGTTCTTAGACCAAAAATCTAGACATTCTGTGAAGTTTACTATTCAAGAACAATATACTTGAAAATAGACTGCTCTTGCAGTTCTTTCAAATATCCCACGTAAACTTGATGTTTGTAGTTATGAACTAAAAAGAAAAACCATCCATTAAGAAGCATGGGAGTATGGCTTGGTGTATCTGCTCTCCTAGTAGGTTTGAAGCTGGATGTTTCACCCCCAGCACCACAAGGAAAAGAAAAAGAAAAGGAATTTATTTAGGGCCTGGGAGTTGGCTCAGGGGGGCCGAGCACTAACTTTTGCTGTAACTTTTGCCCTGTTACACAAAAGTTTAAAAATCTGAGTGTGTGTATGTGTGTGTGTGTGTGTGTGTGTGTGTGAGAGAGAGAGAGAGAGAGAGAGAGAGAGAGAGAGAGCATGTCCATGGGTATGAATGCAGATGTATCTCTTGTGGAGCTCAGGGGATGACATCAGGTCCTCATTTTCCTCCTTGTTTGAGTCTAGGTCTCTTCTTCACCACTGTTGCCAGACTAGCTGACCAATGCATTTCTGTGGATTCTCCTGTCTCTTTCATCCCACCAGGAATGCTGAAATTATGACATATGCTAGCATGTCTGACTTAGAGTCTGTGGACTTGAGTTCCATCTGTGGCAGCACTAAAAACAGAAAAGAGAAAAGCAAGAAAACCACAGATCAAAAAATATACATATTTATTGTTGTTTTGGTTTTGATTGAAGGTCCCTTACTGGTCCTGCTTCCATGAGTGGCCAAGATCAAGGGAAAAAGGAGGGCAAGCAGCTGTCACAGGGAGGGTCATTTCCACATTTCACTTACACACAGAACTAAACAGACCAGCACAGAGTCACTATTGTAGTTGGAAGTTGGCAGCATGGGCTGGGGAGGGATGGGGAGTAGGGGTGTCATTAAAAAAACAAAACAAAACCGGCTCCACCCAAACTGGGTGCCTGGGATGGAATTTGGTCTGCTTCAACCCTAGAGAAATGAGAAGATGAAAAGCAACTTGGGAAGGCCAGAACCGTTAGGGATGGAGGAAAGAGAATGGTCCAGGGGGCGGCGGCAGAGGTGTGTGTGTGTGGGGGGAATGATTGGCAACTGGGGTGAAAGGATTGCCTTCCCCCTGCTGGGGTCCCCCTGAACCCCTTCGGTCTGGCAGGAAAGGGGCAGCCTGCAACACCCAAGAGCAGGTCTGGGGCTGCGAGATGCTGCAGGCGCGGGGCTGGACGCGGCTCACAAAGTCTCGCCCTCCGGGGAGATGACGCGCTGCCACCTGGTTTCTCTGCCAGGGTGCAGCAGTCTGTGACCTCGTGGCGGTTCGCTTGTAAGCCGTGCTTGATTCCCGTCAGCTTCTTCTTAACAGCACCCTTGGAGCTGGCATAGATCAGTTTGCTCCTAAGGGGTGCACTCTCAGGGGCCCAGAACATGAACGCCGGGTCCTCCTGCCGGCTCCCCTCGGTAGGCTGCAGAGCGGCAGTCCTTGTCTGGCAGCATCTTGGCGAAAGCGGTGCGGGGGTCTCCACAGTCCGCGGCACATCTCCCACCAGGATCTCCTTCCTCCTCCAGGATGATGTTCTGCTTGGCCTCGTCCAGGCAGAAGAGCACTGCGTTTCTTCACTTCTTCTGGCGTTGAGGACTCGGACCTTTCGTGTCATTGAACACCTTGATGACACCCTCAGAGACAGCCACACCAGAGGCCATGTTTCCGGAAACTAAACAGAGAGAGCTACAGAAGAACCGAGCCGCCACAGCTGCTGCCAGGGTCTGAGTGAACCCAAAAATTATACACCCGAAGCTAAAGCTAAGGACTGTGGAAAGCAAGGAAAATTCTCCTTGTCGTGTGGGACTTCTACTTAAAAAACAGTTTACACCCAGGGGCCAATTTTAAGTCTTTCCACACTCAGCTGTAAAAGGTAAGAGACTGAATGAAAAATGGTTTAAGTGTAGAAACTAGTTGGACCCAAACTATGAACCCTTTTGAGGTTGCAAGAGCCCATGCCAGGCCCAGTCTCATTCCGAGCCGCCAACATGTGGATCAAGGTGTAAGCTCTTAGCCTCAGCTCCAGCGACATGCCTGCCTGCCTCCCACCCTGCTCTTGCCATGATGGCCATTGACTCACCGTCTGAGGCTATAAGGAAGCTCCCGGTTAAGTGCCTTTTAAAATAAGCTGCCTTGGTTGTAGTGTTTCATCACAGCAACAGTAATCCTAAAACAAGCCTGTGCAGCTGGATCAGGCCACTGTGTACCTGATCTCCACCTGGGAAAGATAGCTCTCTCTGACTCAGGGGTCTCGACACCCATTTTCAACATCTGTGTGTGTGAGAGTGTGTGTGTGTGTGTGTGTATGTGAGAGAGAGACTCTAGTCAGTTTCATGACTGTATTTACTAGAGAATGCTGATTGAGGCTGCCTGGGTGTCCCAATTTCATCTTCTCAGTCACTCAAAACGTCAGCCGCTTTTTCCCCATTGTGACTTGACTATAAAATTAGTATTTTGTTGGTTCTTAGGTTGAAGCTCTAGCAGAGGGCTCGATGGACACATTCAAAGCCCCAGGTTCATTCCGCAGAACCACACATAAGACTGAGCACAGCGGTGCATGTCTGTAATCTAAGCTCTCGGTGGGTGGAGGCAGGGGGATCATCCTTGCTGCACAGAGAAAGTCTTGAGGTTTTGGCTCTCAGCTCAGAACTGTTCTTTCCTCTCAGAGTTGAACCGAGTTCCCGTGCCTGGGCCTCAAATGTCGACGGTCATGCCACCTAGTTCTCCTGCCCCACACCCCAGCCTTCATTGTCTGGGGTGGTCTCCAGACACTTACATCCAGGATTCCCCTCACCCGCCCTCCACACCCAGACACCTTTCTTCAGTCCCCCTAGTCCTAATTTCACCGCTTCTCTCCCGGCACCACTGCCCAAAACTCTCCCACCCCCACAGTCACGGTCTTTTCCCTTCAGCTCACCTGCACACGGCTGTTCTCAGACTTTGCGTGTCTTCCCGTGACCTTCGGGAAACAGTCCTTGCCTCAGATGCTGGTATCTGAGGCCCCTTATGATATTTCTCTCCCATCACTCCTACCCCTACCACAATCGTACAATACTCTCACCTTCTTTTTTGTTTGTTTGTTGGTTGGTTGGTTGGTTGGTTGGTTGGTTGGTTGGTTGGTTGGGTTTTTTTTATGTAACCCTGGCTGTCCTGGAACTCACTTTGTAAACCAGGCTGGCCTCAAACTCACAGAGATCCACCTGCCTCTGCTCCTCCATGCTGGGATTGAAGGCGTGAGCCAGCACAGCTGCTTTGCCCCCTTACTTTTGCAGCTGCTCACGTGACTGAGGTGTCAAACACCATCTTGTTCGGACTCCGTGTCTGCTTACTCTTCAGTCTCCTACCCACCTCCCTCACCAACAGCTACTGTTCATCTTGGCAACACATTTGGAATTTCTGAGACCCTGACGATGGTCCAGATGTATTCACCGAAGTAGTTAATATTTATACAAACTAAACATCAGCTAAAATAACCAAAAAGGTATAAGTTAAATTAATGGTCATGTTGTGTCTGAAATAACGACTATGTTCTGCCAAAAACTGTTGCGCTCTGACCCCATCTCATAAGATGTGACTGTGGTTTGTTTTGTTGTTTTGGTTTTTGCCTTTAAAAGCACCAAACCCTCCATACCAGGCAGTGGCTCAGGCCTTTGAATCCAGCACTCAGGAGGCAGAGATAGGTGGGTCTCTGTGAGTTTGAGGCCAGCCTCATCTATATGGCAAGTTCCAGGACAGCCAAAGTTACATAGCATGACTCTGTCTCAAACAAACAAAGAAACCACACACACACACACACACACACACACACACACATATACACAACCAAACAACAACACAAAAATGCTGTACCCTTGAGCTTCAGCACCAACAGTCATTCTGAGATACTAGAGCACTCTTTGTCTCTGACTCAAAATAAAGGGCTCTTTTTGATGTGGTGGGCCGTGGCTTTCTCACCTCTACCAAAACATAACAGAAAGAGCTTGAGGGAGAGTCACCTCTGAGGGGTTATAGAACAAGGCAGAGGAGTCCAGAGTGGATATCAAATCGGCTTGTAGCAGCGAGCAAAGGTAGGCTTCTAAGAAGCAGAAAGGGAATCAAGAAAAGCACCCACTACTGTGTGCCTGCTACTGGCAGAAGTGAATGAACACTTACTGCTTATTCTTTGAGTAAGTGTTGTTAACTGCTGAGCATTTCTCCAGCCCCACAGTATTCCAATTCTGCAGATAAGAACACTCACACTATAAAGAAAAGCACTTCTCAAGGGTGCTCAGAGAGTAAGTGTCGACATTGGGATTTCTTCTGCTAACCACACCCATAAGGAAATGCTGTAGCCTGTATCGTCCAGTCTCCCTGGGGTACAAGAATTGAGCAGAGAATATTCAACAGTGTTCTGTGCTCCATGTCACTGCATTTATTAAGTCTCAGGGTCAGATCTGAGCCCCTGAAGGCTCTGAGAGTAGGGCAGAGCCTCTTGGAGACGGGATCTGTAGCCATCCAGAGTCAGGGGAGACAGGTCAAGAACTGGATGTCTCATGTCGGAGCCACTTGTTTCTGATGATGTTTTGGATCCATCTGGTATGAGTGCAGACATCAGTGTAAACTCCCGGCTTCTTCTTCGATCCACAGGGCATGTTACCCCATGACACCAGCCCTCGGAGGCGATCCCCACATACCAGGGGACCTCCAGAATCACCCTATGTGGAAGAGAGAGGAAATCAGAAAGTCACACACAGTAAGGAGGAGGAGGTGGAGGAGCAGGAGGAGAAGTGGGGGGGAGGGGGAGGATGACAGCGTTAGAGATGCTCAGAGATGGAGGGAAAGGCTGGTGTGGTGGTCATGCCTGTCCCAACTACTCATGATGCTGAGGCAGGAGGATTGCAAGTTTAAGGCTAGCTTGTGCTTTGTACGAAGACCCATTCTTGAAGTAAAAGAGGAATGGGGGTGTAGCTCACTGACAGAGCACTTGTGTAAGAGCCTAGATTCAATTCCTAGTAAAAGGAGAAGATATGGTACCCAAGACCACTAAGTTCCATAAAGGTGTAGGTGGGAGAGAGGGTGTTTAGATAAACCATCCATCCTAGATGGAAGGTTGTTAAGACACAATATGTTCTAAGGGAAGCTGAAACACTCTACCCCTCAGCAAAGATCCTTAAGTTCAATACACACACAACTCACTAGGTCCCTCCTTCCCCGAGTATATATAATTTGTAAGGATGCTTAGGAGCCTCTCTCAGACAAGGTGAGCTGCCTGCAGTCTTTGCAGTGTGCTACAGTCTGGCTTTGGTGAGCTGTCACCCATGCTGGGGTGGGCTTTTGGTGATGTAGTTGCCCATGAGTCATTTCTGATCTTGTAAGTAACCCCCTCACCCATATTTCTGTAAGTAACCCCAATAAAACTCATTGGTTCACCCAGTTGGACTTTGGTGCCATTCCTTGGTCTGTTGTTGGTTCCCTGTCTGGGGTGAGTAGATGTTTATTCTCATCACTGCGGGAAGCGTGTCACAGGGCAGAGAGAGAGAGAGAGAGAGAGAGAGAGAGAGAGAGACCAAGGTTTATAAAAGTAAAGGGTATTAATGGAGGGGAGGCAGAGAGCAAGGGAAAGATAAAAATTCCAAGACCCGCAGGTGAGGTGGGAAGGTCAGCACTCAAGAGGGAGACAAGAAACCTGAATGTTCTCCAACCCTTGTTCCCAGGCTAGCCACGTCCACCTATTCTTTCTTTGTCCCAAATCACTATCTCACTTTATTGGCCTCTCTCCACCCTCACCCTTGCTTTCTGGGTAGGTTGCCTTCATTCTTCTATGGTCTAGTGTCATTCTGGCATAAAAAGGAGTCTGGGAGGATAATGGGCAGAGAGGCTCCAGGTAAGGTATTGAAGACTAGATGGGTGTGGTGGTGCATGTCTGTTATCCCAGGAACCCAGAGGCTGATGCAAGAGGATTGCTGTGAGTCTGGGGATAAGCCAAGGCCTGTGAATGAGTTCCAGAGGAGCCCAGCTACAGGTTTTGAGGGATGAGCATGGGGTCCCTCTCTTTGTAGCTTCCTCAGAGCTGCGGCCACGAAACCCACTTGGAAATGGCTGAGCTCCAAATGAGGAAGCATCTTTGTAGCATCTCTCTGGCCCTTGAGACTCCCCAGTTGTTTAGAACTTCTACCAAGGTGACTTTCATTGAGATTGTTCCTTATATTCCCAGGCTTACCAGGTCCACCCATGTTTGGCTAGCCTTTGTAGTATCTCTCTGGCTCTTGCTGTCTCCTTGTCTGTCCATACGTCTGAACTTCCTGTTTCTGTTGAGTGTCTTTGTGTGCGTGTGAACATGTGAGCATCCACTGTGTTTTTTGAGTTTCTCACTGAGCTCGCCAATTAGGCTAAACTGGCTGGTCAATGAACCCTGCGGATCCAGCTTCTGTCCCCCAGCACTGGGGTGACAAGCATGTACCATTGTGCCTTTCAGCTCAGGTCCTCATACTCACATAGCAAGCGTTTTACTGACTGAACCAACCTCTCAGCCCCAAGGTGTCTTGCTCGTGCCTTTCTTATCTGTCTCTGCGTGTGTGAGGAGTCTCTTTTCCAGTGCCCTCCCAGCCTGCCTTTCTCCGTCTGTCCAGCTCTGGTCTGTGTCGCTGTCTTCCTATCTGTGGTTGATTTCAGATCTCTGTTCCCGGTCTCACCTGGCAGGAGTCGTTCCCTTCTTTCTTGTCCCCTGCGCACACCATGTTCCGGGTGATCTTACCAGGGTAGGCAAGCTCACATTCACTGCGGGGCACCAGTTGGACATCAGCACACTGGATGGTGTCTGGGAATTCACCTGGGAGGAGGGAGATGGGACATCCCTCTCACGTCTTCACCAGCCATCCTCATTTCTCTTCCCCCCATTTCTCATGGCTTCCTCGTTTGTTTCCCTGTCATGCTTAGAATACGTTTTCCTTGACACTGCCTCTTGATTGGTCTCCTTTCCCATCATTCTTGGCCTGACTTCCTCACTAGTCATCACTGCTTCATGAGTTCTCTTCTCATTGGCCCTTCATTTTACAGCCATCTTCTCCATGTTATTCAAGCACCCACATTTGGTCCAACTCCTCAACCTTCTCCTTTCCCCATTCGTCTTTTAACCATAAACAGACTGGCCTACTGGTCCTCTCCGTCAGCATCTTCTCATGGCCCACCACCTACTATCCCACCTCCATCATTAGACCCCTTCCCTTCAGTCTCTTTGACCACTCCCAACCATCAGCCCTCACTGACCATTTTCCATCTTGCCCCAGCCCAGGATCTGACAGTTGATATTGTCGTCAGAGCAGTCTTTCTTCAAGGGCAGAGGCTGGATCTTTTGAGAGAATTTGACTGGAGAGTTCAGGTGCACCATCATGATGTCATTGTTGTGGGTGTCAGGGTTGTAGTGGGGATGGACAACAGTCCGATCCACAGAGATCTGCCTTTGGAAAGTCTCTGTTTGCCATAGATTGTGTTTCCCCAAGCGCACCTCCAGATTCCTGGGAAAGAGGCAGATAGGACTCACCTACAGGCCTGGGCTTCACCCGAGGCTCCCAGAGAACTCATCTGCCTCACTCCTCCCTGCTCCCTTAATCTTCCCCAGCTCATTAAAAGGCAAGCTCGTTCTTCTAGAATTTTGCCTTACAAATTTCCTACCGCACTACTTGACAGTCAGCTACCATAGCTGCAGGTTCTACACGTACAGACTCAGCTGCTCACAGATCAAAAGTATCGGGAAACAGCAGAGCATGGTGGGTACACCCTTAACCCCAGCACTCTAGAGGCAGAGGCCAGGGGATTTCTGTGCGTTTGAGGCTGGCTTGGTCTATAGAGTAAATTCCAAGCCAATGGGACTACGTAGACCCTGTCTCCAAAAACAAACGAACAGACAACGACAGGATATTGAGGGATGATCTGGCAAGATGGCTTCCTCTTAGTGACCTGAGTTCAATCTCCAGAACCTACGTAAAAGTACACAGACGGGACCTGACTCCGCAGAGCTGTCCTGTGACCTGCACAGGTGCACCATGGCATGTGCACTCCCCCACAAAGAATGGTAATAAATGCAAATTTTAAAATACGCCTGGGAGAAACACGCCTGTGTTAAACAGATACAGATTTTTGCTGTTGCTGTTGTTGTTTCTCAAACAAGACAATTTAACTATTTATGTAGCATTTACATCGCCGTGGGCACTACATAGAATCTAAAGGTAACTTTATTTATGTATTTTTATTTTTAGATTTAGTTATATGTGTGGGTGGGTGGGATATGTGAGTATAGGTGCCCATGAAGGCCAGAAAGGGTGTTGGATCGTCTGACTCTGGAGTTACAGGCCGTTGTGGGCTGCCATACGGGTACTGGGAACTGAACTCAGATCCTCTGCAAGGGCAGTGTGTGATTTAACCACTGATCCATCTCTCTAACCCTATTTTTAAAAAAGGTTATATTTATGTGTGTGTGCTCTTTTGTGTGTGTGTGTGTGTGTGTGTGTGTGTGTGTGTGTGTGTAGCTGTGCATGTACAAAGGCCAGAAGAAAGCTTTGGATTTCTCTTGAGTTGGGGTTATAGGCATTTGCAAGCCGCCTGGCTTATGATACCAGTGCTTAGATCTAAACTTCAGTTTTAAGGATTGTGAAGCAAGTTAGCTCCTGAGCTATTACTCCAACCGCCATTTTTTGTTTTGAGGGAGCTATTTGCAGCCCAAGCTGGTCTCAAGCTCCATGTGCTGTGCTTCTGATTCTCCTGCTCCCATCTTTCAAATGCTAAGACTACAGTGGTGACTGCCGGGCCCAGTTTAGGGGATGCAGGGCAATCATTCCACCACCTATCACACCAACAGCCCCTCCAGATACAACTGAGACTTCATGCAAGGATAGCCATAGATTATAAGCAAGTGCTGCGCTGTTTTGTGTACCTGCAAATCTTGATTCTTCCATGGTCCTGGAACCTATGGATACCTGATTGAACAAAGTGGTGAGTGCTCAGGCCTCCCTCCCTCCTGAAGTCTACAAGGCACCCCCTAGACCCACTTACATCAATTCTCCAAGACAGAGAAACTCACGGTTTTTTGCAGTGGGCAGCTGTGAGAACCCACTGTGAGTCAACGAGGACCCCACCACACAGCAAGTGACCCGCGGTGTAGAGAGCAGCTTGGAAAGGGTGCGAGTTCTTCAAACAGGGGCTACCGTGTACCACCTTATCCTGCTCCTCCGACCAGGCTGAGGGAGGAAGGGCAGGAGTCAGAGAAGAGCTCAGAGAGCCTAGATCCTTCTGACATGAACTGCAGTCAAGCAGGTCTCTAATCTCATGCTCAGCTCCAATTCTCCCTCCCCTTCCTCCATGCTCTGCCATCCTTTGTTTTTTTTTTTTTTTTTTTTTAGACTGAGTTTCTTGTAATCCTGACTGGCCTGGATATGAACTCAGAGATCCACCTGCCTCTGCCTCCCTCATGCTGGGATTAAAGGCGTGCGCTACCACAGCAGGCTATCTCCTCTTATCCTTAGTCAATCCCCTCAGGGCCTTCTAGTCCTGTCATAAACCACCATCTGTCAACAACACCCATACATCCACCAATCCTCTGTCTGTTTTGTATTCTTTTTATCACCTGACTTAGCAAGAATCAAGCACAGGGCCAGCGTCTTCACAGTCAGCATCTTCATGGGCGTCCTGAGAGGGGAAGCCAACAATTCCATTAGTCATGACCCAGGAACCCACCCTGCTCCTTCCTCACCCTCCCTCCTTCCTGTCTGGTCCTGCTCTCCTGCCTTTGTTTGACCTCTGTGCCCTCCTCTCACCTCCTGGTTTCTCATTTCCCAACCCACACCTTGAATCTGAGGGACCGTGAGAAGAGATGCAAGACAGGCTGCTGACCATGTCCATGGTTTCAGTGGCTTTTGGAAGGAAACACAGTCAACCTTCCTGCTTCCCCATGCTCTGGTCGCCCTTCCTGCTAACAGAGAGGTTAGTCCTCTCCTTTTGCACCTCGTCTCAGTCCTAACCCTACACTTACCCCACACCTGCAGCTTCCGAAACACCCACGGCCTTACCTGCTGGTGGCTAGCAGCGAGTGTATCTGCCAGCACTTAAGTGGGAAAAATGACACCACCTATTATAGGAAGCCAGAGGCAGAGAAAGTCGGCAAGGCAGGGCGCTCCGAGAGAGAAGGGTCAGAGCAGACTGACAGAAGGTCGCCTTATGATCGAGCTGCACAGAATAGGGTGTACCTAGATGCTGGTCCCAAGCAGCAGACTGTCTCCCAGAAACCTGCTTGGGTCTATGGCCTCCCAGAAAGAGGTGCGCTCTGTCCTCAGGCTCTTCCAGCTTCCTTTTAACCCCTCTCTCTTCTAGTCTGTGAGCCAGGAGGAAGTCAGACACACCCTTTTCTTCACCCAAGCCTCCCACATACATTCTTTCTGCCCCACGGCTCTGCTCCTGGTGACCCCTCACCAGATAGCTGTAGGGAAGGTAGTGCCCAGCTCTGGTCCATAGTGACCCTGAACCTCTGAGTCCTTAGGGAGGAACTGAGTCCGAATGAGAAGGCAGAGGCTTGGACTCGTGAGTCTGAGGGAGGGCTGGGGCCTGGACTCCTGGGTTGAGGGAAGAGAGCTGGGCCTAAACCACAAGTCTAAAGGAGGAGTATTGATCCCGGACTTTTGAGTCTGAGGTGAATGGATGAGCCTGGACCCTTGGTCCAAAAGAGGAGGGTTGGGCCATAATCTTTGGAACTGAGGTACAGGGAGATGGGAGCTCATTCTTAGTTTTGGATTTGTAGGATTTGGGACATAACAGACTGATAGCTGAATGCCAGTTCCCAGGTTAGCCAGTGGCACCCCAGTCTCCACAAGTACCCCACCAACACCCAGTAGGGAGGCTGCAGGTCCTCCTCCTGGGTTTGCATCTCTGAGCACTGGAACCAGCTGCCCAGGTTCAGTGGGGTCAGGCTGACTCACCTACCTGTAAGTTGTTCTCTGGGTGCCAAAGACCTCCGCGTCCTCAGGAGAGTAGGGACTGCCAGCCAGCTATTGAGAAAGGGTGTTTCGCTAACCTGTCCCCCACCCCTAACCCGGGCTGGGAAGCAGGGTGAGCAATATGGGGAAAGAGACTTCCAACAATCAGGCATTGTCTATCCCCAGAAACCTAGTGCAATGCTCCCAGCAGCTCCTGTTCTCAACCTCTTTTCCGGGAAGATGGGCGGGAGGCTATCTCAATGAGTTCCCTTTGTACGAGTGTGACTGACAGCTCTGCTGGGTCCTTGCTCTGGATCTTTTTCTCCAAGTTTTCCCACCTTTGGGTTCTCTGACTCAATCCCTCTCAGTGTCTGTCTCCCTCCATCTCAGTGTATTTACATCACTGAAGCCCTTGCTCTGTTTTTGTTTTGTTTTGTTTGTTCGTTTGTTTTTCCTGCCCTGGGCCTGTCTCAGGCTTTCTGTATCTGCCTCTCTTTCCACAGGTCCATTTCTCCCCCTCTTTCTTTCTCTGTCTGTGACTCTTTCCTCTTTCTCTGTATATGTATGTATGTATGCATATTTTTTTATCTGTGTCTTTCCTTCTGCGCATTTGTTTATTTGTCCGTCAGAACTGTCTCTTTCGGTTTGCCTTTCTACCAGTGTCTGTATCTTTCTCCATTTCTGTTTCTGTCTGATTTTGTCTCTATCTCTCTGTTCCTTTCTCTCTGCATCTCTGTACTCTCCATATTTTTGTCTCTGTCCCTCTTGATTTCTCTCTGTGTCACTGTGTCTGCCTGTGTCTGCTTGTGTCTGTCTGTCTGTCTGTCTATCTGAATGTCTGTCTCCCAGCCCCCTGGACTCTCTATATCTTCTGTTTCTCTTCTGGCTCCTTCCCTGTACTTCTTGGGGAAATGTGTGTGCATGCGGTATGCAGTTATATTCTTGGGGTGAAAGAAGAGATGACAAGGAGTGTGTGTGGGCAGCTACTGAGGTATAGAAGGGTTTGTAGACTCATAGATAAAATGTTTGCATATACGGAGAGATGCACAAGTAGAGAGAATCTGGCATGCAGAAATTGGGGAGCAACACCAAAGAAGATAAGCACGAGCACTGGAAAGCTATGTCACAAACTGGGAGAATTATGGGGAGGTGCCTTTGAACTTGGGTCTGGGAAGCCAGAGTCAGTGAAGAAGAGAGGATGCCGGCATATGTGGAAAGAGCAGGCAGTGGTCAGTGTGGGCTGTAGGGAGGGACTTGTAGAAGGTGGAGGGTGGAGGGACCTGAGGAAGGGTGTGGGAATGAAGAGGAAAAATGGGGACATACTAGGAAACCATCAAGCAATAGCAACAGCAAGCATGAATAATGTGCCCCTCAGCGTTTGCTGGGCATGACACTCATGTGACCTTCTCCTTTCATTTGTATTACTCAGTTCCCATCACCCCAGTTAACGAAGACTTTAGTTAGCACGGAGGATACACTGGGCACTTCCCACTAGCTCTTTTCTGAACTTAACATCTTCTCCTTGAGCTCCACTGTCTCCTCAGACACAGAGTCAGTTCTCCTCACACAACTCACTGGACAGCCACCCTCGTCCCACAGCTTCCCTGCTGCTGGTCCCACTCCTCTTTGTTTCTATGTTCTGGCCCCAGTTCAGACTGGTTCCTCAGCCACCCCAGCACTCTCCACTCTCTGAACCACTCACTAGACTACAAGAAGGGTTGCCCTGTACTTTGCCTGCCTTCTCACAGATCTGCCCCAATTCCTCATGCCTCTTGGGGCAAAGTCCCACTTCTCAGCCTGAGACTGGAGGAGCTTCAGCAACCAGAGACTGGGGGCATGGCTCAGCTGCAGAGGCTCTTGCTGGACACCCCCCCCACACACACAAACACACAGCAAAGGGCTGCAAGTGTGGCTCAGAGGTAGAACATCTGCCTATAATCCCCCAGTGAGGGGCTTGGGTGTGGTTTATTTTTAGACCCCCTGCCTAGGATCCCACAGGTTCTGCATGTAAGGCTCAGTGGTATATCACCTGCTTCAGCCTAGTGAGGAGCTGAAGGTAGAATATCAGCACCCCCCAGTGAGGGACTGAGTGTGGCTCAGAGATTGAGAGCATGCCTAGCACGGGTACGTCCCTCAGCATTACCAAGTGGTGTTATCTTCTTATCACAAAGATGTGAAGTAACGCCTTTGTTAAGTCGCTTTGCGTAACCATTCCACTTTGTATGTGTACATTTATTAAAATACCGTAAGCATGTGTAATTTTCATGTTTCTTGAAAGTTAATTTAAGAAATAAGAAAACAGCTAAAAAGATAAAGCAATTTATCTTTTTAATTTAATAAATAAGAGAACAGCTAAAAAGACAAAAGCAGGTGGCTGAATTTGGTGGCACAGGGGCCTGTCATCCCAGACAGTGTGGAGGCTGAGGCAAGAGCACTACAAGTTCAAGCCCAGCCTAGGCTACAGAATGAGACCCCATCTTAAAGTTAAAATTAAAAAGAAACTTAGCTCCACAGCTCAGTACTGACCTAGCATGTATGAAGCCCTGGGTTCGAGTCCAGGAATGGTAAAAACAAAATCAGGAGTTTATCCAGTTCCTTTATATAACTCAAGACATTAAAGCTACAGGACTTTAAGATGTGAAAGTTATCAAAAGACCCGTTGGCCTCGTGTCCTGGCATATGGAGTGCTTGGATTCTGATAGGCCTTTATACTTAGAACTCCGTTCAGTGGGAACTCATCTTATGTCTTTTACCCTTGAAGGCTCCGAAGCACCCTGGCAACATACCACTCGGAGCAGCCCTACCCATCTTCCTGTGCTCTAGCTTTGGAGAGCCCACCAAGTATCCCAAGTGCTCCATGCCCTGTGGCCTCAAAGTCTCTGCTTCTGGTTTCCACTTTGCTCCATGCTTTCCCCACCTTTTCCTGTCGACCACCTCTTCTCCTTTGGTCTTGGCTGGAATATTGTCTCTCAGAACAAGTTTCCACTGAACACCACCCAATGCCACCTGCTATGGTCAGGTTAGTCATTCTCATGTGTGGGCTTCCACAGGTGTCTCCTTCCAGGTGTTACCCTGGACCAGAGCCATTTGTGTCAGTGTCCATCTCCCGCACCGGATCTTGAGTGCCACGAGGGCATGGACAGTGCTGACTCACTATAACCACAGGGAACTCAGGAAATGTTAACCCATGACTAACATGACTTCATCACATCCACTCCTGTTGTAGATAGGAAAACTGAAGCATGGAGTGGGGAAGTTCATGGCTCAAGTACAAGCACACAGGAAGTGGCAGAGCTTGAACTATAAACCAACTCCTATCATTATGATATTCCAACATAACATGAGACAAAATGGCAGCATCCAAATATAGTGTGTTCCAAAAATGGCAGCATGCAACATGGAGCATTCTCAGCTGGCCTGCCTTGACTGGTATATTCCAATATAATGTATTCCAACATTGTTCCAAAATGGAGTATTTCAGCATTCTGATGTTCCAGCATGGCAGTGATTCAGCCCATCTCTCTACATTCCCCAAAGATGATAATACAATTCCTTACTACAATACAGGGTAAGTGGGCCCAGGAGGAATCATCCTTGTGGGGAGACCAAGAATCTGAGTCTCTGTGACCTACCTATGCCCATTCCTGTCCCATTGCCTCCTCTCTTTTCCCATGTTACTGGTAGGATCAGAAACTCTCCAAAGAGAGAGTGAA